TGGAAGCAGCTGTTCAAAGTTATTGCATACTTTGGCTGCGTTCTCAGGAGGGACATTAAGGTCGCAGTGGTCTGAGGCTGAGGACAGCTGACATCAGTGGGTTGCCTATAGGTTCCATGACTTTGTTGCCCATATGGCTGGGTGGTTTGTGCATGTCCTTGAGTGGGCTGGGCAGTGTCAGCACTGTAGCCTGCTGGGGTGCAACTTGGCTGTAGGTACTGTAATCCGGGGACACCATTCTCTCCCCTTCTGTATAAAATACTCTTATCAAATGCCTTAAGCCTATTTTATTTAAATCAAAGTCGTTTGGTTTGAGACTTTTCTATTGAGGTCATAACCTTATAACTCTTCACATCAAACCAACCATACTTATTTCATGACAGATAAAGTCTGATTTCATTTTGCAGTTCAGATAAGCTGATATGTGTCTGTAAACTTGAATCAGAAGTCAACTAATTTCAGGGGGAGAGAGGATTGGAATTGCTTTCAGTTCAGAGCTGATTCCTGTGAGGTGGATGGAGGCCAGACATATCTCCACTGTCTAACTTTTTTTCTTTTTTTTATTCTAATTCTGACCAACTGCCCTTTCTAGGGCGCTCTCTACTTCTCCAGTAGATTTGAAGATCTGTTATAATGGTTACATAGAACTCACTGACCATGCTCGTGAGTATTGGGGGGGGGTGGTGGTGGTTATGTGCCATGGAGCCAGTTCTGACTCATAGTGTTCCTGAGTAGGGTTTCTAAGGCTTTAAATCTTAATGGGAACAGAAAACTGAGAAGTCACTGATAGATTCAGCTGCTTACTTTGTGGTTAGCAGCCCAGTATGTGACCCACTATGCTACCAGAGCTCCTTTTTAAGGGAAGTAGCATGCTGTAAAGGAGCTATAGTAGCGTAGTGGTTACAAATCGGGCTGCGAACCTTCAGGTCAGCAGTTCAAAACTGCCAGCCACTCTGTGGGAGAAAGATGAGGCTTTCTGCTCCTGTAAAGATTTACAGCCTCGGAAACCCTGTACAGGGTTGCTATGGGTCGGAACCGACTCGACACCACTTAACAACAACAACATGCTATAATTCAGGATCAACTGGGCATTGATACAGTTTATCTATCAGGACAGATTGCAACCAAGACAACACTCAGCATGTTCTTGGCCATGCCTACAAGCAGGTCCTGCTCTTGGCCTCTGCTGCTGACTCTTAACTTGGCTGGTCTCTGCCACCAGACCCTGCTTGAGCAAGCATTTTTATTTCTGCCTTTGTGTGTGTAGAGACATTTCACTGCCCTAGCAAACTTCCTGCCTAATGGTACTCAATGCTCTCACTGCATGGATTGCCAGTAAGTTACTGTAGGTGTCCCAGTCTGCCAGCAAGCCTGAAAGCACTCAATCAGCTTGCTCCTTGAGTTGGCAATCTCACTGCAGCTGCCTGGCTCCACTGTCCATGTGGCCATTCCACTGTCTTGTACCATATTCTGCTGTTTCCCATCAACTTTAATGCTACAACTGTCTCTTCTCATACGACAGGGAAGGTGTACAAGAGTTAAGTAAAAAGGATGTTGCTGCTAGGGCTTAAGTTTATACATGCCCAAATTCCAAACAAAAGGTGTTGAAATATATCTCTGTGATGAGTATGTGGCTGTGTACAAGTTCTTTCAGTAATTCCAAGAGGGCTTCAGAAACGTTGTGAAAAAAAAAAAAAAATCCCATTATATTTTCATTCCATTTTTACACTATTGTTTTGAAGCCCCCTTACACTTGTCTTAGTGGTGTTGTTGTTAAGTGCCCTTGAGTTGGTTACAACTCTTAGCGACCCTGTATAGAATTTCCAAGGAGCAGCTGGTGGGTTTGAACTGCCGGTCTTGAGGTTGGTTCACAGTCCAGTGACGATCTTACAGTGCCACGGGGCCAATCAAAACAGTGGTTTCTGAGGGAGTCTGCTATCAGTTAAATTCAAGGCCATAGCAACTATGTTTTTGTTTTTAAATTCCAAAGGGGTCCCCAAAATGACATCTTTGCTCTTTAATGCTTTAAAGAGGCCTTTTGCAACAGCTTTGCAAGTGGAATACGTCATCTGATTCTTGACTGCTGCTTCCATGAGTGTTCATTGTGGATCCAAGTGAAATGAAAATCTTTTGACAACTACAGTCTTCACTTTGTTTATCATGATGTTTGTTGGTCCATTTGTGAAGTGTGTTTCTTTACATGAACGTGTAATCCATACTGGGGGCTGTATTGTGTGATTTTCATCAATAAGTGCTTTAAGTTCTCTTTGGTTTCAGCAAGCAAGATCATGTCATCTACATATAGGTTATTTATTAATAAGCTTTCTTCTAATCCTGAAGCCACACTCTTGTTTCAGAACTGCGTCTTAGATTATTTGTTCAGAATAAGTTTGATACTACCCTGACATACCCGACCTTTCCTGATTTTAAACCATTCAGTATCCCTTTGTTCTGGTCATACGACTATCTATGTACAGGTTCCACATGAGCACAATTAAGTGCTCTGGAATCTCCATGTTTCGCAATGTTATCTATGGTTTGTTAGGATTCACACCGTTGGAAGGCCTTAGCATAGTCAATAATATTAACATAAAAGGTCACCATCTTTCAGGTATTCTTTGCTTTTAGCTAAGAACTATCTGACACCAGCAATAGTGTTTTTTGTTCCATGTGCTCTTGGAATCAAGCTTGAATTTCTGGTAATTCTTTGTCAATGTGCTACTGTAATGGTTTTTGAATTATCGTCAGAAAAATTTTAGTTGTGTGTGATGTTATTAATGGTATTTTTCAATAATTTCCATATTCTGTTGGGTCATCTTTCTTTGGAATGTGCTCGAATATAGACCTCTTTGACTCCGTTGGCCACATAGCTGTCAGCTACAGTACTGAATTGGTTTGTTGAAGCATTTCCGCTTCATGCAATCTAGTAACTAGACTGCTATGCACTAGGTGTTTATTATGTATTTAATGAATGAATAACTGTAGTTTGCTGGTTTTTTAATGTTTTGTTGTGAATTATATGATAGTTTACATGAGAGAACTTTAGTTTTACATTTATTCCATCGTATATCATCTCATTGCCATGGTTCCAATCCCCTCCATGCATCATCAACCAACCAAAGGATATACCCTAGAAACCCGCCCCCTACATTCCCCCCCCCCCCCATTTTTCAGGACCCAGTCCCCCTCCCTCTCTGGATCCCAAAGCCCCATCCACTTCATCACTCCTCATCGTCATCTCTGTCTCCATCTCAGGCATCTCTTTTTCTCTGGGTAGGGTCCCACTCTCGGCTCTTCTCCGTTGATGGTCCCAGAGACCTCCGCTCCTAGCCTGGAGAATTAATCACTCCCTTCCTTGTTACAAAACTTCCACCTTTGCATTTCCAACCCTCATAGTCCATCCTGATAAGCATTATTCACTACAGTATCACGAGTTACCCATCTGTATTTATTTTCATCAGCTCTGCCCAGACAGATTGAATAGTACCCACTGGAGATTCTGCCTTCCTCCGTGCTCCCTAGCACTAGGTTCCCTCTTGAAAGCTTGTAAGCCAGTCACTTCTTGCCTTTGTAGTCCTCCCCTCCCCATTTGAGTATCCAATGTTCAAGTTGCCCATCTCCGTCCACTCTGTGTGTGGATGGGGTGGGAATGTTTCTTGCTGTGAGGATTTGTTTCCTCTTTTGAGTCGCTGCTCCATAGGTATAGGTCAAGTTCATCAGATTGTATCAGCTCACTCTTATTTTTTTTCCCCCTCTTCTTTCCTCTCCTGGTTGAGCTCTGATCATTCAGTCATCCTGTCCAGGTCACGTGGGTATCATCTGCAAGTGTGGGCCCTCTCTTCCCGTCAGCCGGTAGCTCCACTCTCCTCTCAAGTCCTCCGTGGCCACGCCACTGACTCTGGGCCCAGGAGTCCCCAGGTCTCCTCACACTGCTTGCCAACCAGGTCCCCATCTGGGTCCACAGAAGTCCACTGAACATTATAGGGCTTAGCTTGCCACTTCATTGCTGCTTTTACCCCAGTTCTTCCCATCAGTGATGTGTGTGGTCACCAATCAGAGCATGCATTTCTGTTGAGTCTTAGTCTTGGAAGGGGGTTTGCGTTGAGAGGACCTGGCCACTTGCCTTGATGTTTCCTAGGGAAGCGATTTGTTTGTTCTTGTAGCAACAGTCCATCTGCCTCCATTTTTCCTGCAGGTCTTTCTTTCAAGAGGTATCTTTTATTCTTCTCCTTGGTTGCTCCAGGCTGGTCTGCTCATCCTTTCAAGTGGGGAGATTTCTCATCTCTGGAAATCTGGATGTAGTTCCGGTTTCTACCTATAGTTTTATGTATTGCAAAGGCTCCGCAAGAAGCCTCGTTCACTGTGTATGCCGTAGCCCCATTTTAGGTATTCCAATCACTCATAGGCAGAAGACAGACTTACAAGCCTTCTAGTGTGATGTTTCTGACTATTCGTTTCTCTCCCTTTCCAGTGTCTACTCTATATTATAATGCAAGGGAAACCAAGATTAAAACAAACAAACAAACATACAAAAACAGTCAAGCATCTTAACATGATTTCCGTCCTTCATTCCAACCATGACTCAATCCCTGTATCTCAGAGCCCTGCAGTTCCAAGACTGTGCGTATATCGTCCTTTATCTCTGTCCCATTTGGCCCTTTCAAACATGCCCAATTGTTGTCCCATGTATTTTGCTTTTTGAACTCTTGAAACTTAATGTTGTGTTAGTTTCTTGCCTTTCGAACTGCTAGATGAACATAGCATTACAGATTCACTACAGAAGATACTAGAGATGGCTTGTGTTGTCTCACCATAGGCCAGTTAGTACCTTGGGTGGTGTCAGTAGAAGTGACTAACATTCTTGGTGTTTATCAATTGAGACAGAGACCTATAACGGTGTGGCAGTGCTTTGTTCGATGCTGGCTTTATTGATAATACAGTCAAATTTCCATGTACTTGTAAGTTTATGTGACCAGTGGTTTTTTTTGTGTGTGTTTTAGATATTCCCTGAAACCAAATGACCAAATTTTGGCTGAAGACAAACACAAGGAACTGTAAGTGTACTTAACCCTAGTTATACACAGTTTACTCTATCTGTAGAATGGGTATATTGAAACAATCTGATTTGTAAAATGATAGGTAATATAAAGGTACAATTAACACCATGGCCTGATCCTAGTGTTGTCAAATACCATTAATTTGGTTCCAACTCATAGTGACCCTGTATGGAGTTTCCAAGGAGCAGCTGGTGGGTTTGAACTGCCAACCTTGGGTTCACAGCCCAGTGCTGATCCACATCTCCACTACTGAAGAAGGCTGAAAGGAAATAATTTCCATATATGCATTTCATCATGTCAACTAAGAATATATTGGAAAATGTAGCATTTTCTTTTCTTTCCCAATACAAAATTTTTAAACTGTCATTGTTCATTTTGGCTCTTTCTTAGTGGTTTATATTAAAATGGTCTAGTCTCTGTTTCCTGTACAGTTATAGAAATAAATTTGATGGGAATTATAAGTTATTAAAATGTTTCAAAATCATATTTAATATCATGAGGATTAAATGGGTAAAAGACTTACCACAAAAATTCATGTCCTAGAAGGAAATAAGAGTTTTCAGAGTGATGGAATAATGGGAGACTGTTATTTTCATTTTTAAGCTTTTTAAATCTTTTCTAATGCATTGTGCTATTCCTGTAAGCAGAAAAGAAAACTTCATGAAAGAAATTCGAAGTTTTCCATACTTGAAGTGTTCATTTAATATGAGTTGAAATTTATTTTACGACATCTAACAGCCACTAGGAGATAAACTTCTTCAATTTTATAAACCTAATAGGTGAACCAAGTGAACGAACATGATGGGGCCTGAAAGGCCTACATGAGTCTGTCTTCTTCTAGCTAACTAATGCTTATCATATAGCAAAGATCATGTATGAGAGGGGTTCAAAAAGTTACAGAAAAATTCCGTTATCTTTCATGCTGTTTTTCCAAGAACTCTTGAATCCCCCATCATATTTGATAGTTTAGAAAAGGGTAGTTTAGAAAGTATTGCTGCTAAGCTTACAGTTTGCACAAGTATGGGTTTATTCCAAGCAAAAGGTGTTAAGCATATCCCTGTGATAAGCCACTGAGTACAGACAAATTCTCTGTAATACACTTGTCTAGTGTCGTTGAGGTACCTTAACAACAACAACAAAATGGATACTTTTTTGTACCTCGGAAGAAAATGATTTTGAGATCAAGGCTAATAACAAATTTCTAACAAAAGTCAAGAGAACATATTCTCAAATTATTGAAGCTGTGAAACAAGTTTGTAGGAATACGCCCCACCACAAAACAGTTTTTAGATGGATCAAGCATTTTAAGGAAGGTTAGGAAGCCCTCAAATGAAGAAACTATGGCTGAAGTCCAGAACCCAGTGGATGAAGACTGTAGAATTACCATTTGATGAGATAGCTAGTAAAGCTCCGATCTCCTGTGGTTCAGCGTTTTCAGTTTTAAGTGAACATCTTGGCCTCAGCACCCTTTTGACTTGATGGGTGCCAAAACCATTGTGTGAAGATCAACCAGCTCAAGGAATTGGTGATTCCAGCAGTCTTTAAAGCAAGATCAAAGCTCATAAAGCTCATTTTATGGAATGAATTGTAACCAGGAACAAATTTTGGATTTGCCAATATGATCCAAAGAGCAAGGTACAAACAAAACAGTGGCTTCAGAGAAGAGAGACCTTGGGTAAGAAAAACATTACTTAAGAAAAACGAAGTTGGAGGCTTCTCACTTCCTGATCTGAAAATCTGCTCCACATCCACAGTGGTCAAAACAGCCTGCCTGGTACTGACTGGTACAACATCAGATACATAGATCAGTGGAACTAAAGTGAGAATCCAGAAGTAAATCCATCCAAATAGAGTCAGCTGATCTTTGCAACTGGACCAAAACACATTAAATGAGGAAGAGATAGTCTCTCTTCAAATGGTGATGGTAAAACTGGAAATCCATTTGCAGAAAAATGAAACAAAACCCCTCTCTCTCACCATATATTAAAAACAAACTTAACAAGTATTAAAAGCCTAAATGTAAAAAAGATCATCAGTGGAAAAAGTCGGGAAGCCAGGGAAGTATGCAAACGTTAAAGGGGATAAAGATAAATACTCTCATATTTACAACAGTGGAACAACATTGTTCTGAGGATAGATATATGGACAGATGCACAGACAGATTGGGAATGGGAGGGAGAGTTAGTAAACACACAAATTTATATATATATATATATATATATATATAGTTGTTAAGTGCCATCGAGTCGGTTCCGACCCATAGCGACCCTGTACAGGGTTTCCGAGGGTGTAAATCTTTACAGGAGTAGAAAGCCTCATCTTTCTCCTTCGGAGCGGCTGGTAGTTTCGAACCGCTGACCTTAAGGTTCATAGCCCGATTCGTAACCACTACGCTGTAGGTTTAACAGAGGATATTTATACAGGGAGCTCTAGTAGCATAGTGATTACGAGTCAGGCTACTAATTTCATGGTCAACAGTTTGAAACTACCAGCAGTACCTCAGAGAAAGATGAGGCTTTCTGCTCCCGTAAAGATTTACAGCCTTGGAAATGCTATACAAGGTTATTGTGAGTCAGAACTGACTCCACGGCACATAACCACTACCACCAATTACACACTTGTGATTGTGATGGGACATACAGGGGCAAACTGATAGTTTCTTAGATACTCTTAAACTTCTTAAGGCAGTAGTTGCTGGGCCTGGGGACTCTCGGGACCTTAGTCTCATGAGACTCAATGGTCAACTGGCATAATATAGGCAGTCCACAAAGACAATGTTCTATATCCTACTTTGGTAAGCGGTGACTGGGATCTTAAAAAGTCATGAATGGCCATCTTAGGTGCAACTATTGGTTTCTCCATGTGCAGAAGAAAGAAGAGTGAAAATTTGAAGATGCTTGATATCAACTGGTCCAGTGAACCAGTGCAACATAGGAGCATGAGTCATGTTTCTGAAACGGGAAGAACTAGGTGGTGCCCTGCTACCACCTACCAACTATTGTGGAAGGAATCACATTAGAAGGTTCCAGATAGAGTAGGAGAAAATGTGGAGCAAAACTCAAAATTATATGTATACATATTAAAAAAAGACAGGGCTTACTGGTTTGAAAGATTGAAGGAACCTGAAACAAATTGCTAGTTGCCTCAATGAACAACTGCCTCCTTTGCCATGAGATCAGAAGACATGTGAAAGGACCCGGCGCTGCTCATCAACCACACCTCACACCAGATGGCCCATCTAGAGACCTTTATTCAGGGTGAGGAAGGTAACCTCTGCTGGAGAGAGAAGGCAGGGGGCAGACTGGAGGAGAGGAAGAAGAGGAAGAGAGCGTCAACAGGAAGGGAGGGGATTTGTATAGATTCAAAAGGAAGGGCGTGGTCATTGCTGGGGTGATTTAGCTCTGGCCTATCAAAAGCCACGTTGTCCTTTAAACTACGCGCCTTGTAGCTTAGGGCGGGGAAACAGACAAAATGGAGTTGGAGGGAGGGGAGAGGGAAGAACCGGTAGGTATTGTAACAACGTGAATTGTGTCTGGCTGCCAATACTGATCATCCTAGTGGAAGATTTCATGGAGGAATCCCTATCAGACAGGGGAATGCAGAATAGAATTTCAGATTCTCCACAATTTTAGACTTTCTGGTCATGGAGGGTAGGTGAGCCTTTGAAACTATTTCCTTTAAACCTTAAATCAAAAATACCCCTGAAGTCTTAAAACTGAACAACAGTTTAGCCTTGAGCATTGCACTCTTATAAGCTCTGGTGGCAGTGTAGTTGTTGTGATTCGGGCTGTTAATCTCAAGGTCAGCAGTTCAAAACTGCCAGCTGTTCTACAGGAGAAAGATGAGACTTTCTGCTCCTGTGAAGATTTGCAACCTTGGAAACCCTAAGCATTATGAGTTGGAACACAGCACGGCAGATGTAATCAGTGTCACTGAATTGTAAATGTAGACACTTGGGTCAGTATATGTTTTGCTGTGTATTTTCTCAACAACAAATAAATAAAAATTAAGAAAGACTGTAAGAACTTAATACAAGGAATAATTTTAGAATAAAACTTGGTTTAAATACTAATGCATGTATGACATGTGAAGAAAGTATGTTATTAAAGGTAAAATCTTAAAGCCTTTAAATGGTTAATTACCGCTTTATTTTGGAAAAATGTGTGATGTCTTGGATTTAGCATTAGAAGAACTCAGTTTATATAAGAGTTTCGCTATAGGCTGTATATAAACTTTTGAGAAGAAATGGTAATATTTTAATAGACATGTCCATTTCACAAAGTATTTAAAGGTATTTGTGATGGATAGTACATTTTATAAGTCTTAGTAAGATTTACTAGAAATACACCATAATTTGTAGGTAGAACTGTGTTTGAGTTGACTGATGGTTTAGATAAAACCATAGAGCTCATGGTGATAAATGGAAATTCTTTGTTTCTAACAGACTAGGTCTTTTCTTGGTGTTGAGAATATTATAAATTTCTATTTTTGTGATGTTAGCTCCCTCTGTAGAACTGCGTTAAGATTGCAACCTGACTTTTCCCCATTATTTAGCAAAGTCCTTGAAACATTATCTAGATTAGACAATTCCCTTATACAATTTTACTGTAGCTCCTAATCACTTTGAAGTGGTTTCCTTGTGAAAATGTTACCTTTATAAAAACATTTCGCTTTGTATACACTAAATCTTAATAGCATATACAAATGAAACGCTTCTTCAAACAGTTCTGCTACTTTAATGGTTTTTCTGTTTGTTTGGGAAGGCCAGAGAGAACATTGTGAACTCTAAATCTGCAGCTGCTGAGGGAAAGAAAGATGAGGCTTTGTGCCCCTATGAAGATTTAGAGACTAGGATTGCTATGAGTTAAAATTCACTTGATGGCAAGCAGTGGGCCTTTTTTGTTTTGTTTTTATTTTTTAAGTCTGTGTTGAGTAGGATCAGAGCATGTAGAAAAAAGCCTAATGGGAGATTAAAAAGGAAAAAAAAAAGTGTATAT